TATAACTACTGATTTTACATTTTTATTTTACATTTTACTTTACATTATATTTTGCATTGTATTTTATATTGTATTTTACATTATCTTTTACATTATATTTTATGTTATATTTTACACACTCTCCTATAACGGTTTACAGGAGCAATTTACGGCTCTCGCAAAAGTATTATTTTTTTTACGAAAGTATAATTATTGTTGTAACTAAAATAAAAAACACAATGTCATTTAAAAAAAATTAGTTGCATAATATTCTGCAATGCTTTTTAAAAAGCACGGTTGTTGCAAAAAAAAATTAAATATAAAAGAGAGCGTCATTTTAAATGAGGAGCAGCAGACACAGCTCCCCAAGTTCGTTTTAGGAGAGCTTTTCTCTGCTCTCATGCTCATTTATTCCTGCCGAGGCCTTTATATATATATATATATATATATATATATATATATATATATATATATATATATATATATATATATATATATATATATATATACAGCCCATTTTTTGCAAAGATCGACTAATATATAAACCATTTCATGACCAAGAGGTAATCCATTGTTGTTAAGGATGGTAGCCCTCCTAGCCTGATAGGAATTTACAAAGTCAGAAGTTGGAAATGTCAGCCACACAACTGAAAGCAAATTCAGTTGCTTATGCTTTAAGTAAAAACTTCAATATGAGTTTCTACCATTTAAAAGCTAGAAACTCATATTGAAGCCATGAAAAATGAAATTCATATTCTAAAAGATTAAAACTTTAGTTTGCGTGAATAAATAGAGTATCTTCAAAAAGAAAAACTTATTTAAGATACATAAGTAAAAGCACTAGAGAAACAGAGGGCCACAGATGTCAGCATTATTTCTACACTTTCTTCAGAATCTAACACTAGCAGCAGCAATCCAACAAATTCCATGACATGACAAGGAGCTGGCAGCATCACTCTTAAACGAATTAAATGTTGAATGTAAACATGTTACTATTAGACGCTTCAGAGGTGGCAAAAGCACTGCAACCCAAGCAGGTCCATTACAAGTACTTTTTAATAACTTAGATGAAAGAAACATAATTCTCAAAGTTGCCCATAAACTTTGACTTAACAATGCTTGAAATAGGATCTACATCAATCCAGATGAAACTCCTGCTCAACAGAGGCAATCAAAACTACTATTTATAGAAAGTAGCAGGCTCAACAGAGAAAAACTTGAAAGTCAGCAAAAGGATCAGCCCTTTCATTTTGCCATCCATGGTGGTAGAGTCACACACGTTGATGGAGTTTGGGACTCAACTCTTGGAAAAAAGATATGATCCTAGACACGTTAAAACAGAATTAGATAAACAGAAATCAGTCCACAACAGAATCAATAACAATATAAAAATGATTATTAATAATAACATTAACACAACAAAACATCTTAATAATTTTAGTTGTTTTTATACAAATGTGACCTCGTTAAGCTCAGAGAAACTTGCGGAGCTGCAAAGCCTTATTCAAACTTCAAAAGCACCACCTAGTCTTATCTTTATAACAGAAACATGGTCTAATAAAAACTCCATCTCTAATCTCACTAATTATATTACATATAGACGTGATTGCAAAATTAATTCTCATGGTGGAGTCCTTTATATCTGATACACTAATAAGTCATGGAGTAGCACATCTTCAACTTAACAATTCTGACTCTGAACAAGTTTGGTGTTGAGTTAATCTTGGAACTGAAAATTTTTTAGTTGATTGTATATACCGTTCACCTTTCAGCAATGACCTTGTAAACAACCAAATTAAAGCCTCTATAAACTTTGCATTGAATTCAGTAGAAAAAAAACAGTACTCCGGTTTTCTAATCACAAGAGATTACAACCTTGACCGTACCACACGGTCTAACAACAGTACAACCACCACAAACTCGCTAGCTAAAGAATTTATTGAGATATTTGATTAATATCATTTAACACAGCATGTCAATTTTAAAACTTTTCAATTGAACTCTGTATTAGGCCCATCTAGCACTCTAGATCTTATTTTAACTGAGTCTACTCAATGCGTATTTTCTCTTTTTTTTTTCGTATTTTCTGAAAGATATTCTTAACTTGGCTAAACCAAAAAAGGACAAACTTATTTAATTCTAACTTGGAATTTTGCTGTAGAATCTTCTAACCCTCCTAGAAATATGTTTTCTTCATCTCGACCAGATTTTTAAAATGGTAACTTCGATAAACTAAATATGTATTTTAAAGATGTCAACTGGGTTAATTGTTTTAAAAATTTAAATATTGATGAATGCTAAGAAGCATTCCAATCTATCTATATTGAGGGATTTAATCGTCAAATACCAGCAATTAAATTGTATTATTCTGTTTTACATAAATCACAAAAAAAGTAAATTCTGCAATAAAAAATAAAAATAAACTTTATTATAAAATCAAAGACCAAAACTCGCCTCTGGACACTACAACAATAGCTGCAAAAAAGTAAAACAAACTCTTATTCATTCTATTGTTCAATATGAAAAATCTGAAAATAAGATCTATGAAAGAGTCAAATGGAAACAAGTCAAGATTTTTTTTGAAAGGAACTACTGCTAAATTAGTTAAGTCCTCTGTTATTTTTTTACCAATTTCTCCTTTAAATGTTTTTCCATCAATCAACTCAAATACATGTTTAAAAGGAAGTTTATTTAAATGTAGTTGACAAACGAGCCAATGCATTGGTCTTTTAAGTTCTGTTTCAATTAATTTTATCACCCCTCAAAATTTTCCAGTATTTACTATAGCTGCATCGCATAAGAGACCATTTAAAGAACTGCTGCTGCCAGTTTTAAATATTAAATGGAGAATTTCATTAGTAATGCAGCAAGAAATTCCATTATCAGGTCTTAGATGATCTATATAGCTGCTGCTTGGTTCTCTAACAATTGTAATATGTTCTTCTTTAATTATTACTGCAGTTGTTATTGTATTGTCTTTTCTTCCATCAAAACCAATACATTGTAATTTCAAATTTTCGTCTTTTCTCTCATTTACATTTTTCAGTCTTTCTCTTTCTACTTTTTTTCTATCAAGTATATTTGATTCATTTAGTATACCCATGTCTTTTAGAGCAGCATTGACAATAGCAGCAGTTGCTCTGCAACTGACTTGATAACAATCTGCTATGATTGCTAGTTCATTGTAACCTAATTTGATTACATTTTTTTAAGACATCAGATTTGTATAGCTTGTCATATTCATTATTAGATTTATCTAATATGATATTATCCTCAGATTCATAGAAATTGTCATCAGTAATTTATCTATCTCTTTCTCAACATTTTTATGTGTATTTAACTATTTATGCCTTGTCACAATTTTTTTTCTACTTTCAGTTTTCTTTAAACTAGATGTATAGTTCGTATTGATTTGTGAGTTTCTTTTGCCCAACAAACACATCCCACTCTTTTATTGGCACTTTAAAAGTACATCTTTTCTCTCTTTCTACTCCTAAATCATAACAGTTGCATAAACATATATCAAACATGTTGTCAAAAGCTTTCAATTTGTCATAAAAATTATTATTTTTTCTAGTTTTATTTAAATTGGATTTAAATAAAACTTCAAGAATTTACGTCAAATATTTTCAATTTCAGTGTTAACTAATCTGTAACATTTATGAGCAGAACTTGATCCTTTACTTTTAGCATCTTCATTTTTACGAATATAATAGCAATATTTCACAGCTTCTCTTTTTGTAGGAATCATTGCAGTTGGAAATTTAGAACCTTGTCTAAATGTTAAGTTGTCAGTTTTACTGCGAGTATGAAATGTTGTCACGATACAATGTGTTGCTTATTATTAGTTATATTTTATTTCTAATTACTAAAAAATAAAAAAGAAGACAAATATATACACAAACACTAAATATACTATGATTGAGACTAAAATGCAACAAATAGAATAAACTAAAAAATTACATAGTAACATAGCAAAAGTTCTTATGCTGACATGGTATCATATTTTGAAACTTTATTTAAGGCATGAAGTTAATAATTCTGAAATTGAGCAACAATTTTTTTTTTTTGCTGAAAGTTCTTTTGTTAAAAAATGTATACCCCCAAAAAAATTTATATATACTTTTTTTACAAAATTTTTTTGTGTGGAAAAATTAGGGTGTGTGGTGCAACCCCTATGGTTTGTAAAAAAAAAAAATTTAGTGTATAAAAAAAAATTTAGTGTATAAAGATAAAATTAAATTGTGTGTAAAAAAAAAAAAAATTTAGTCTAAATAGTCTATTATACAAAAACAAAAACTCTACATAATGCTGCTTGTCAAAATTTTAAAAAAAGTATGGTTTTGACCCGCCCTAATGTATAGTAGGGTGTCCCAAAAAACAACATTTTTGAAAATAATCTGCTCTCACCCCCTAAATGTGTTCTATCTAATACAAAAACACTATGTTTAAATTTTTTTTGAATAAAAAATTTTTTAAGGGGTCCCTCAAGACCCTCAAAAATTTAATGGGTCCCTAATATTTTCGAAAAAAAAGTTTTTCAAAAATATGTCAACCTGGTACTCAAATGAAGCGAAATTATATAAACATTTCAAAAATAATATATATTTCAAAATATTTTGAATTTGATTATCAAAATTATCATAAAAAAACATTAGAAATGCATTTTTTTCATTTTTTCTTAAAAAACGCAATTTTTTATGTAATAAAACCAAAAATAACAATTTTATTTCGAAATGAATATTATTTTTAAAATTTTTATATAATTTTGCTTCATTTAGTACCAGGTTGACATATTTTTGAAAAACTTTTTTTTTCGAAAATATTAGGGACCCATTAAATATTTGAGGGTCTTGAGGGACCCCTTAAAATATTTTTTATTCAAAAAATTTAAACCTAGTGTTTTTGCATTAGATAGAACACATTTAGGGGGTGAAAGCAGATTATTTTCAAAAATGTTGTTTTTTGGGACACCCTAATGTTTAGTGCTAACTAAACTTTTATATATTTTGTTATTTTAGGTCCTTCTAATTACTTGCCTAAATCGCCTCAAATACTTTTTCCTAATAAAAACCATGCAGTTTTTAAATCCACAACACCTCGACTTACAAGTTGTACAAAAAATGTAAGTTTTCTTAAAAGATTAAGTTTATATACATATTTGTATATGTTTTGTATATTTTATTAATTATATATATTTTGTTTTGTTAATTGCAAAAAAAAAGTTTAACTAATCACAAAATTTTTTTAGGAGACAATACCATTTGTATCATATGAATCAGACAAAATGGACACTCATCTTTGTAGTGAGTTTTTAAGCTATAAATAATATTTTAGTTTTTAAATTAGACTATAATTTTTTAAGTGAATATGTAAAAGTATTATAATTTTTAAAGAAAATATATATCATTTATGTAGAAAAGTTAATTGAGCAAAGAAAGCATCCTGGATGTGGTTTTTTGTCCTCAGCAGAAAGATTTCATGATTCTTTTTTAATGACAGCTGACCTTGATAACCCAGGTATTAAATTATAATTTATTACAATGGCACTTCTTGGTAACCCAGGTAATAATGTATAAATCTTTTTAAATGACAAAAGGTCTTGTTAATGCAGTTGACGATGTAAAAAGTTTTTAAACAACAGCTTTATAATCTAAGCATTTAATGTTTTTTTGGTTGACTAGATTAAAAAATCATTTTTCTAGTTTTTTTATGTCGTGGTTTGCTTTTTTTACACTTTTTTTTTTAACAATTTATGAAACTGCTAAAACTTCTCAACTTTTAAATAGCACAGTTTAAACACAAGTTTCAAATTGTTTTTTGTTGGTCAAACAGTTTCTTTTAGTATGACAAGTATCATTATCAAATGAAACTTTTTTTGCAAGTAGCATTTGTAGCTAGAAGCAGATAGACTTTTGCTGCTATTAGTAGTTCAACACAAAAGCATAATCTTTTCAAGAAAATTGTTGTTGGTAGTTGTTTGTTAGAATAACTATTTTTAGAAATTCTTTCTTTTTATCTGTAATTAGTAAAAGTTTGACATCAAAGTAGTTTTGCTGGTTTAATGGAAATTTATAACAATTAAATACAATTAAAAATCTATTGTATCAATCTCTTTAAAAACTTTCAATATGATGTAAAAGTTCATTATATATTCATATAATTATAAATTAAATAAAAACTTTAAGCTTAAATATTCTTGAATTAAAAGTTTTTTTTAAATAATTAGTTAACCTTGGTTAACTAATTATTAAAAAAATTCTATCCAAGGTAGAATGTGGTTTAATACTTTTAACTGATTCTGAACGGATTGAGCCTTTTGACTTGTTGTTGGAGATAAGCAAAGAAGAGAGTTCAAGTGTGAGAAAGTGATTAACAAAAGGCTTTAAATTGTATGAGTCAGAAATAGAAATAAAAAAAGTACAGAAAAACCTTGAATTGTAGTTTAAGGTTTGTCTGTACTTTTTTGTACTAAGTCAGGAATACGTGAAAATAGCACCAATTTTTAAGGAAAAATACTAAACAAATAAAAGATTTGTAAGCATGAGCTTACAGTTACAGTAAAATATTGCGGCTTTGCTAAATAATGAGTCTGGCAGGAGTTTTGGTTGATGGAAGAAGTGATATCTTTCTTGAGCGGTGACCAGTGAGATGCAATCTTTTGGTACAAAAGCTCAAGTTTAGCATTTAGTGCAGATTTAACAACATTTACAATGCGTTTTTAGACCTTGTCAAAAATGAGAGAAACTCCTTAGATAAACCAGCAACAGTAGTATTCCATTCAAGGACAAATAAGAGATTTATAGAGGTAGAGAATGGAATCAGGAGTAATAAAATGGCTAGCACAATAAAGTTAGGCAACTTTAACAGATGCTAACTTTGCTATTTATTATAACATGAGATAACTAAAAATCTGGACAAAATTAGAAGTTGTATAACTTTTTAACGGAATAATCAATTTTAATAATTTAAAAAGTATATTAACAAAAAATATCTAATTAATAAAATATTTAAAAAATTTAAGTTTTTCATGTCATAAAGATGAACAGTGCCTACTCTTGTAAGTGTTGCCGCAGCTAGCCGATGTACATGTTCTATGTTGATTTTCTTAATTGAAAACTAGATCCTAATAATTTACAGTACTTTTGAAATGATTTTTATAGAGACCATGAGTTACCAGCAATTTTTTTTACATTGCATAGTTTATAAGATTGGAGAACCTTTTTTTTTGTGTGTGGTTAAGCAATGATTTTTTTTTTAATTTAATAAACTTTCTATACTGTAAATCTTTCCTGAAATAAACTCAAAGTAAATATTACTAGCTTAAGTATTTAAAGTGTGTATACAAATGTGAAAAACGTCTCATTAAGCACAAGCAGGGATATTTGAAAATACATCATATAATATATGAGTTATTAAGACAGAATATAAGCAAGATGTTAACTAAATTTTAGTAATATATCTAAAATTTTAGTAATATATCTAAAAACTAAAGATGTGCAGTTAATGAGCTTAAGGATTCAACTGAAATAAAAATATACTCATTTGATTACAGATTTGCTGTAATCAAATGAGTATATTTCACATTCAGCTATAGGTAAAATTCATAAATAACTTGGTAACTGTAGAATATCCAATAGTGATCCGACTCATCAGTTTCTTTGTCTTATTCAAGGAACACTAAGTAAACTAAAAAAAGATTAAAAAATAGACAAAAAAATATTTAACAGTATTAATCTTTCTGATGCTATACCACCTCCATTATACAGCTGCAATAAAGCTCATAAAAGTGATAAAGTTATTGCATTCTTGCAGTATATAGAAAAGTTTTATTTGCTATAATTTGCATTGGGTAATCCCAATGCAAATTATAGCAAATAAAACTTTTCTATATACTGCAAGAATGCAATAACGAATGTACTTGTAAAACCGCAATTGTGTATATCACCATATATTGCAATAGGGATATTTAAAGGTTTTCTTGCAAAAGCTTATAAATTATGCACTCGTGATTATATAGAAAAAGAAATTGAGTTCCTAATTAATATTTTTATGGAAAATGGATATTCTTGGCAACAATGCATTGTAAAACATTACAAATCATCCCAACCAAAAAACCGCCAACAAATTAACACAGATAGTATCATAATACTTCCGTGGGTTCATAAATTAGGCTTTATTCTTAGACGTGAGTTTCGAAAAGTTGGCATAAAAATAGTTTTTCATTTTGGAAGATCTTTATGGAACATGTTATGCCAAAATAAATCAGAGTTACCACCAAACAGTCATCTGGGTGTTTACCAACTTGAATGTACATGTGGCGCTTTTTATGTGGGTGAAACCAGAAAAAAAATAAAAATACGAATAGCTGAACATAAAAAAAAACATGACTAAAGTGAACTGGAAAGCGTTTGGAATTGACGAACATGCACAACTTTGCATATATCATAAATAATCATAAAAATCAGTTATACCAAATAATTATACTATAAAATATCAGGGAAGCAATTGAAATAGACAGATTGCAATGTTGCTATCCAAAAAAAAAAGTACTAAATCGGCATAATGGCAACCTAGTGATGACTCACCATTGGAAACCATTTTTTTATTACATTTAAGAAAAACCTTTATGCAACAATGACATCATTATTGTAAACAACGAATTTTTTGTAACATATTTTAGTTTGAAAATGGCTCCAATTATATAAGCCAAAAGATCACATTTAAAATTAAAAAATTTTATTAAGTTAAATAAATTGTATGTCTCCGTATATGATGTATTTTTAATTTTATATATAAATTTCATCAAATTATTAAGATTTCATTAATATATATATATATATATATATATATATATATATATATATATATATATATATATATATATATATATATATATATATATATATATATATATATTTTAATTATTCACCTCCCCAAGGCCCGAGGGGGCCACTACAGTCGAGGAGGCTACGGCTACTCTTTTTTTTTTTTGTTGTTGTTGTTGTTGTAAATTGTGGTACAACCCTCTCTCAACTCTTTAACTTTGAAATACGTTATATATATATATATATATATATATATATATATATATATATATATATATATATATATATACAGGGCCGCAGCATGGGGAGGGTCACTGGGTACTTTTTACCTGGGCGCAGGATCAGAAGGGGCGCACAAACGAAAACTTTTTTTTTTTATTATAAAATAGATACACAGGGCTTTAATAAAAAAACTCTTTAAACTCGTAATTTAATAATGAATTGTTACTCAACAATACAGCATTAGTGAATTCATATTCGGGAGTCTGACACTAGCCAAACCAAAAAAAAATATATATATATATATATATATATATATATATATATATATATATATATATATATATATATATATATATTAGGGTGTCCCAAAAAACAACATTTTTGAAAATAATCTGCTCTCACCCTAAATGTGTTCTATCTAATACAAAAACACTAGGTTTAAATTCTTTTCGAATAAAAAATAATTTAAGGGGTCCCTCAAGACCCTCGAATATTTAATGGGTCCCTAATATTTTTGAAAAAAAAGTTTTTCAAAAATATGTCAACCTGGTACTCAAATGAAGCGAAATTATATAAATATTTTAAAAATAATATTCATTTGAAATATTTTTAACTTATTTATCAAAATTATCATAAAAAAACATTAGAAATGCATTTTTTTCATTTTTTCTTAAAAAACGCAATTTTTTATGTAATAAAACCAAAAATAACAATTTTGTTTCGAAATGAATATTATTTTTAAAATTTTTATATAATTTTGCTTCATTTTAGTACCAGGTTGACATATTTTTGAAAAACTTTTTTTTCGAAAATATTAGGGACCCATTAAATATTCGAGGGTCTTGAGGAACCCCTTAAAATATTTTTTATTCAAAAAAAATTTAAACCTAGTGTTTTTGCATTAGATAGAACACATTTAGGGGGTAAGAGCAGATTATTTTCAAAAATGCTGTTTTTTGGGACACCCTAATATATATATATATATATATATATATATATATATATATATATATATATATATATATATATATATATATATATATATATATATATATATATATATATATGTGTGTTAAATATGGAATGGTGACATCAATCGAGTTAAAAAATGCCACTAAAACAATCCATCGAGACTATTACATTTAGTGGAAAACAGCACTAAAAGGGAAACCAGTGCGAGATTGATTTAAGTTTAGAGAAATCGATAAGAAATTAGGCAGCCAGGCAGCATGAAATTTTAAAGTGCATATTAGATGTAACTCTCTTCTTAGCATCAGGCTTTAGAGGTATATTAGTGAATGTTAATTATTATATTTATATTTATGTCATAATTTATTTTATTATACTCAAACAAAAAATCATGGTTTATTTGTGTAAACATGTATTATTACATGTATTATTAAAATCGTCGTTTTAGACTCTTCAAAAATGATCAATGATGGCAATAACGGCAATTTTCTTGCAACTCTA